CGAGTGGTTGCAAAACTGAAGTGGTGTTAGGTAGGAAAAATTCAGTCTGCACACTGCTCAAAGGTTCCATTGCAGTGTGGGCGGTGCAATTATCAATAAATAATAAAATCTTTCTATTTTGTTTTATCATTTGTTGGTTCACCAATTGTAGCCATTCAAGAAATAAATTACGTGTCATCCATGACTTTAAATTTGCACGATAAAGCATGGGGAACGTCTTGATGTTTTTAAAGCATCTGTGTTTCATGGATTTACCAATTATTAATGGTTTAAATTTTTCTGACCCATCCATATTTGCTGCAAGCAACAGAGTAAGACGATCCTTGCTCAATTTCCCACCATGATAACTTTATCCTTTCAAAGACAGTGTGCGATGTGGAAGACACTTGTAAAATAGACCCGTTTCATCCGCGTTGAAAATATTCCTGGGCTCATGATTCTCTATTAACTTTTGAATGTTTTCTCTCCATTGAACACACACTTCATCATCAACGGCCGCGCTTTCACCGCCAACTTTTTGAAACTTACATTATTTTTCTTCTTGAAATTGTCCAACCAGCCATTACTTGCGTTGAATTGTGTTAAGCCCAATTTTGCGGCATACACCTTTGCTTTTTCTTTTAGTAAATGTCCTCCAACTGGAATAGTATTAGATTCTTGGCATTGCGAAAAACAAGTGAGTACTTTCTTTTCTAATTCCGGGCATTCTGGTAATTTTTGGTGCTTACGTTTGGTGTTTGAGGGCAAACCCAAATACAGATCACTTTTTTTAAAATTGATGTGATAGTAGATGGCACAATGCCGAACCTTTTCGCAATTTCTACTTGTTTTTCACAATTTTTTACGGCAAGAATAATTTCTTTATTTTTTAATTGGCAATATTTTGCACTTACGAGAACTTGACATCTTGCGTCCTAATTGATACTAACCTACGCTAGTTGTAGAAAACAAAGCAAAACTTATGAATAAGCGTAACTGTAAAATAATAACGGTTAAAAAACGTACTATGTTTTCGTCACGTACGGTTTTTTGTGAAAAAAATGCGAGTTGTAGAGGCTTTTGATACACATTTTTCAATTTCTGTCTCAATAAAAATACGAGTTATCAAAGGGACCGAAATACATGCATTTTTCGCGAATTTTTCTAGGGACCGAATAAATACTATGAAATATCAAGGTTTTTCGCTTATCGAGGTTACGACTTATCGAAGTTTCACTGTAAATTAAAGTTAATTTCAGGTATAGCCAAATATTTCAGGATCTGGGCATTTGCAAGTATTTCATTCTAAGTGCAAATATGCACTGTCAGGGTTGTCGACGATGTATTTGCCGGTGTGTCAAATAAAATAAAAACTATTAGGATTTGGATAACAATTCAGTTCATTTATATATATTTGAGGGTGTGTAATATATGTATAGTATATACAATTGTGTGGGTATATACTTATGATTTGGGTTATTTAGAGTATAAATACAATTATTATACAACTTAAGGGGTAATTTATAAGCATAATATAAATTTTAAATAAAACCTGATGTGGTTACTTATTACGCGCTGATCTGCAAAGGTTCTGCTGCTGTTGACTCTGCTGCTGCTGTTTAATTTTGGCGCCTGTATGTCCGCTATAGTGATTCGTTTTTTGTGTCTTTCTGTTTGTTGGGTACTTTGCTGTTATATGGGCGCTGTTGGGTGTTTTTTTGCATTGTCCTCTAATTCGTATTTCGACGAGTTAGGAGGACAATGCARGGATGTGTTCATTTGGTATGAACATCCCGGCCGCCTTGCAGGGTCTGCGAATAAAAACATTTTAATATCTGTTTTGATATGTGTTCATGAGTATTATCATAAATGGGTTGGAGATATACTTTGGGTTTAAATCGCACAAGCACCGGTCAAAGTCCAACCAAGTGCGGTGTTTTGTGCGATCACGGTGCTGTTATCGGGGTTGAATAATCCGGGTTTCATTAATCTTGGGTAGACGTCGGCTCCTAGTTCCAACATCATTTTGTCATTCTTCCAAAATGTAGGGTCGGCTAGGACTAAGTGGTCGAACTTCTTAGTAATTTCGCCACTTAAGTCACGATTATAGGGTCGGGTCGGTAATTGATGTGTCAAAAGGCAGTTAACTTCGACATGCCAGTCGGAATCAGTTAATGATCTTATGACGACTTTGCATATACGATGCGAGTCGAGGTACGTTTTCGGTAACCTCAATGTCTGAACCAGTTCTGACGCAATTATAGTCACCTTTCGGGTCGGGTTAATTATGGCTCGTATTTTATTCCATTTGCCATCGTCTTTAACTTTGATCATGACTATTGGTATGAGGGTCGGCTTGGCCAGTAACGTGGGTAGATCTTTTTGTCTATGTAATTTTTCTTCGCTTTTTGGTGATCTTTTTTACACAATCCACAGGCGACGTGTTTATGTGTTCGTTTTGATGAACGGCTGATAGTACGCCGGGCCGTGCGATGGATACTTCCTCGCTCCTCTCGAATGGGGGGAAGGGTCGCTTTAAAGCGATGGAAGCGTCTTTCCAGGGTTCCTTCGTCCGAGAGTGAGCTGATGCTACGGGTCACGCTGAGTGAACTCACAGTGAATGTGGGGCTGCTTTGGCGACTGCAAATTGGCTTCGTACTGCTTTGAGGGGCCATGTCACTAAAAGAAAATGAGATTAATTATTTGGTAAAGTGACTACTTTGGTTATTTGGCGGGTAATTGTTCCCTGAGAGGTACGTATGTCAATTACTCTTGCTTTATTGTATGCACCGAGATACGTTTTTTCGATGCGACCAAGTATCCACTCATTTGGGGGTAGTGTTTCTTGACGTACAACTACCATATCATTGAGGGTATTTCCACTTGTATCTTTTGTGGAGTTCTTTCAGATATTCTTCTTTCCATCTTTTGCAGAAGTATTGATGGAGTATCTTCAGTTTCTGCCATCTTTGTGCGATGCTTAGATGTGCATCTTCTAAATTGGGTTCTGCTGGGATTAGTAAAGGGTACCTATTAAGAAATGGCCTGGAGTTAAGGGTTCTAAATTGGTTGGGTCTTCACTTAATGGGCGAGAATTCAAGCAACTTTCGAATCGGGTTAAAAGGGTAGCTAGTGGTGAGATCACTTACTGGCTCTAGATGTATTGCTTTGGTTGCAAACTAAACAAATACACATACATAACCTTTTGTGATCAGAMATGCTCTGCCGGTGTAATTTTTTATGTCATAGGGACCGGCGAAATCGACTTCTGTTGCTGCGAATGGACGAGTAAGGGTGGTACGTTCTGCGGGTAATGCTGCCATAATTTTAGTGGTGTTGCGTTTTTTGTGCAAAAGTCTTGCGTTTTGCACTGATGAATGGTAGATTTGATGAGGGTTTTCAGCTTCGGTATCCAAAATTCTGAACGCATAAGTCGTAAGACTAGCTGGTTGCCGCCATGAACGGTTATTAGATGGGTAAATTGGGTGAGTAGTTTGGCTAATAGACTGCTATAGGGTAGTATAATCGCTGGTTTTTTGGGTTAGGGCTTCATATTCGACCTGAAAATACTTCTTTTGGAATAAAATAATTAGCTTCATGCGGGTAGTGTTGAACTCTTCTGGAGTTATTTCCAACGTTGTGTATAACTGTTGTGATTTATTGGATGACGCATTCGAACAGAATCTGAACAAATATGCTACAATTCGAATGGCCTTGGGTAAGGTTGAGAATCTATCCAGCATATCCTCTTGTGTTGTGTTCACGAAGGTCTTGATTGGTCGGAGTTCCAGTGTTGTATCGATTGATTTTTTGGTCACTGGCCAGTGTATCGGGTCGAGTGTTAGCCATTGGGGTCCGTGCCACCAGAGGTCGTTGTTAACCATTTCCAGAGGTGTGCTTCCGCGAGTAGCTGGATCTGCCGGATTGTCTTGACTTTCGACGTGAGTCCAATTTTCGGTTCCAACCTTTTCTGCAATTGTGGAAATTCGGTGAGATACAAAGGTTGTCCACGTGCATGGGGGTTTGCCAAGCCATGAAAGAACAATTGTGGAGTCCGTCCATAGGTGAGTACGGTATTGGGTTATACTTACTTGGGGTAGGGTCGCAACCACCAGATTCACCAGAAGAACAGCTCCGCAAAGTCCTAGTCTTGATAACGATATAGTTTTTATTGGGGCCACACTAGTCTTAGATACCAAAAGGGTTGTCCAGGTATTTGTGCTTGTAGAAACACTGATGTATAGGGCTGCTGCATAAGCTTTTTCAGATGCGTCAGAGAATCCATGAAAATTGATGGTCGAAATTGATGATGTCGGAAGTGGGTCCATCGAGGAATTTCAATGAGATTTAAGGAATCGTAGTCCTTTATGAATATTTTCATCGATGGAGCGTTAAGGGTTTTAGACATTCATCCCAATCGGATTTCTCCAGCCATATCTGTTGCATTATTATTTTTGCTATAACTACAACGGGGCTGAGCCATCCAGTTCGGTCGTACAATTTCGCTATAATCGATAATACTTCTCTTTTAGTATACGACGTTTTAACCTGAATAGGGTTGATGAGAAAAAAAAAAATCTTTGTTTGCATTCCATCTGATTCCTAGTGTTTTTGTGTTATTGGATTCTGGTAAACTGAGTGAGTTGGTATCCAATAGGTGCTCTTGTGGGATTCCAGATAAAACTTTYGGGTCATTTGAGGTCCATTTGCGTAGAGCGAATCCTGCGGACTTTAAAGATGAAGTGAGTTCATCTCGTGCCATTATCGCTTTCGGTACGTCATCTGCTCTTGTAAGATTGGGTCCAGTATGTAGTACATCATTGAGGATGTTCCTCTTCAACTTCCCAAAATTGTGTGAGCAACTTGTCTGGGGTCATCTTATTGAAAAATGACATTATTGGGGGTGATGAGGGGTTTTCTGGTGTGGGTCCGAATAGAATCCAACCGAATTCCGTTTCTTGGGCTAGAACGCTAGAACCCTAGTACATTTCTCCGTACACCATTGAGAATTATTTGTGGGTACAGCTCACTTCCGATCAATATGTCGACTGGTCTGCAATTTCTCTAAAATAAAAGTGGTTTCTGACCCGGAGTCGACTAGTGCGCGAGCTGTGAATATTTGCCCTTTGTATAAAACTTGGACTACAGCAGTACCTAACAAAATCTGCTTCCCACTGAAGTTTGGTCTTGGGTTTTATTTTTAGTGGACTGTAAGAGGGTTGTGTAGGCTTGCGGATTTATATTGGTATTAAGGGTTTGGGAGGTACTACTGGTGTTTGGACAAGAGGCGGGTTTAAGGCTCTTGATCCTTGCGGAGGGGATTGGGAACGGGTTGGTATATCAAGAATGCAGAAGTGTGTTATATTTCTTTCTGCATATTTTACAAGAATATTTGCTCTTGCAATCTCTGAAACTGTGAGATAATGCAAGGCAATTGAAGCAATAACCATCATTTTTTATTGTGGTTATTCGGGTCTCAACTTTCATTTGTAAGAACTTTGGGCATTCTCAAATGGAATGTTGTGTTCTGCAAAGCTTACAACTTTCAATGTCTTGGTGTGTTTTTGAGAATTTCTTGCCTCTAACTGGGTTTTCACTAGCGTGTGAAATATTCAGGGTAGAAGTTCCGGAAACATTAGCGTGAAATGTGCTGAATTTCCTGTCTTTTCCTTTTCTATAGGATCCACTGTCGGATTGGGTGGAACGGGGTCAGTTAGATTTCCTACTGCTTCCAAAGATTTATATCGATGAGTGAGAAACTCGTAAAAGCTTTTCCAAGATGGTATTTCTGAGTTATCTTCTAGGGTGTCCTCGAATTGATGAAGTAGGGTCTTGGGTAATTTCAATCCGCATAAGAAAATTAAGATGGGGTCCCAGCTACTAGTGTCTATGTACACGTTGTGGAGATTTGTGAGACAATTGTTGACGGTCTTCTGAAGGTGTTTAATCGCGCTTCCACTCTCTTGGGCTGCTTGGGGTAGGTTCAATAAAATTTTCAATTGTGGGTTGACCTGAACTCGTTTGTTCTCGTATTGGGATACTAGGTCCCTCCATGCCATCAGGAAACTATCATTTGTTAAGGGTGCATTTTTAACAATTACTCGTGCTCTCCTCGGGTTTTTTGAATCAAATGGAACAGACAGTCTTTCCACGTTGCAGATTTTGTGATTGTTTACATATATAGCTGTAAACATGTCTCGGAATGAAGGCCAGGTTGCGAAATCTCCATAAAATATGTCCGTATCACAAGGGGGTAGGTGAATTGAGGGTCCTATGTCCCGCGATATTCCTCTGAAACTCGTTCCTTTATTATTGGGGTTGGGGTCTTAAGATCATCAATAGCTTGATTAATGGATCCTAAAGATTTCAAATAGAATTGATGACCTTTTTTTTTGTGGGGTTCTACGAAAGGCATCGAACGACTTGTTTGCCTTGTCGTATATCGCGTTGAGTTCAACCCTTCTTACTTCCAGGGTATAAATGGACTCGTCTTCGGGTTGGGTATAGTAATGTTAGTCAATGTATTCGAACAAATCGGAAATACGAAACTTAAATACTTCTATTATTATTAAAATTTCACGTAACCGTCTTAACAATTAAATAAATTGAAATAAAACAAATAATAAATTTTAAAAAATATTTCTTTATTTAAGTTTGAATTTGAATACGTTAATAAGCAACGATTTTTTTTTTTTTTTTGGTTTTAGGTGTATATTTTGTGCCGCAGAATATAATGAGTGAAATTCCGACGAACGAAAACTTTCCTAGTGGGTCTTTTGAAATTTTTCCTATCGGGTCTGTTTTTTGCTTGCTCACACTGCACTAGCAGTCAACGTTAGTTTGTTGTTAGTTGAGCGGGTAGTGCAATAAAACATATACACATGTGGGTGCAAGTGGGTGCCAAAGCAGCGCTGCTTGGCTCTCAAAAATTATGTGCGTATGTATGTAAATGAACGAGTAAAGTGCAAAGCGGAATATGGA